AATTTAATGTGGCTGCGCGCTGAGATGTTGTTATCATCATTGCCTTCGTTTTACCGTCATTTATTACCATGTTGTTGTTAGTACACCAAGCTTGAACGTTTGTCATATCCTCAGTTAATTTATTATTGAGTTCCTCAACTGTTCTAGCACTTGTATGGATTGTCGAATCATCAGCATACATGTCTGTGTTGGAATTGGCATATAATGGAAGATCATTGATAAACATTATAAACAATAAAGGTCCTAGAATACTTCCTTGGGGGACACCATACAGAGAAGATTTCTTAGATGACAAAGTTCCTTTAAAGTGCACACATTGGTCTCTTTCTTGCAGGTATGACTTAAACCAGGTTAATGTCAAATCATCACATTTGTAAACTGCAAGTTTTCGTAATAACAAATATGTATCTACCATGTCGAAAGCTTTGAGTAGATCAATAAATACTGCCCCATTTATGAGGCCGCTCTCCATGTTGGATGTCCACATATCCACAAGCTGGCATAGCGCTGTTTCACACGAGTGATTTCTTCGAAAACCAGATTGGGCATGATGTAATAAGTTATGACTCACGAGAAACTGGTAAAGATGATTGTGAATATGACGCTCGAGAACTTTACTGACAGCGCAGAGTATGGCTATGGGCCTGCATGTAGTTGTTGACATCACATTTGGCACCAGATTTGTAGATTGGGATAATTTTTTATGTTTTCCATTTTGTCGGAAACATTCCGGATGATAAACTTTTATTGAAAATCTTAGTCAGAGATGGAACTATTAAATAGGTTGACATCTTCAAAATCTTGTGACTTAAGCCATCAAGTCCGGTTGCTTTGTGAGTGTCTAAGTTACGTAGATAACTACATATCTCTTCTTCAGTTAGTTGTGGAATACTAAAGGCATCATCACTATTAATTCTTGAGTTCACCATTTCAGATAGTTTATCAAAGTTACTAGAAAATTGTTGAACCGCAACATACTGGTTAACAATAGTGGAGAAAAAGTTGTTGAAATGTTCACACATATCTTCAGGGTCCAATATGGTGGAGTTGTCTGAGTTATTTCGTAAACTTGACGGTGCGGTTTTAAGATTTGTTGTAATAATATCACTTAGATATTGCCACAATTTCTTCGAATCACCTTTATGATCTTCAACACAAGTTTTATAGTAGGTAGTTTTTGCATCCCTGATTAACGACACACAACGGTTTCTGTAGGTCTTATAATTTACCATATCGTTGATCGATTTGAAATGATCCCTTTGGGCCATACACTGAATAATCTCGTAGGTCATCCAATCAGGTTGTTGTTGTTTTTTCACTCGTTTTTCTCGCAAAGGTAAATGTTTGTCAATCACGTCAAGGAATAAATTGTACCACGCCTCTAAAGCATTTATGCCCTCAACTCGAATCCTGAATGTGATGATTAGCCACAATGAAGAAGAGTTTGACCTTCAACGATTCTGGACAGTCGAGTCACTAGGAATTGCACCCCCTACCCTCAACGATGAGCATGCAAACCAGGCACAAGAGTATCAAAGTACATCTATAACACGTGATAAGGACGGTGCTTACACTGCTGCGTTTCCCTGGAAGAAAGACCATCTTCCCCTTCCCTCAAATTACAAGGTATGGGAACGTCGAACAAGATCGTTGGCTCGTCGCCTAGCCCAAACACCTAATCTCCTCAACACCTATGGAGAGATAATCGCAGATCAAGAGAAACGCGGGTTCATCGAGCAGGTTCAACCGCAACAAAATGGTCGAAACCTGCATTATATACCACACCACCCTGTCGTCAAGGACTCCTCCACAACACCAGTAAGAATTGTCTACGATTGTAGCTGCCGACAGTCGACCAACGACCAAAGCCTGAACGATTGCCTGCAGACTGGACCTCCACTATTGACTGATATGTGTTCCATCCTTCTACGTTTTCGCACACAACCTTATGCCCTTTCTACTGATATAGAGAAAGCCTTTCTTCACGTACGCCTCAACAAACAGGATCGAGATTTTACTCGTTTCCTCTGGTTATCCAATCCCAGTGATCCTGAAAGTCCATTTATCACATAACGCTTCAAAGTTGTCCTATTTGGTTCTGTCAGTTCCCCATTCATGCTTAATGCCACATTGACAACCACAACACCACTGTTACCCAAGATATGAAGGAGAATTTTTATGTTGATAACCTGATCTCTGGATGTGATACTGAAGCTGAGGCTATCAATTACTACGATGAGGCAAGATCTATCATGAGTCAAGGAAACTTTAATTTACGTTCTTGGTCGAGCAACAGTCCATTGCTCCAAGCACGCGCAGCAGATGACTCTACCGACGAGAAATCCGAGAGTGTCAACATTCTTGATCTTCAATGAAAACCCAGCACTGACAAGCTTACCTTAGTAGAGAACAGTGGTATTTTCAACCCAAACGCACCAACAACGAAACGCAAGATCCTGCAACTATCCTCAAAGGTTTATGATCCGCTTGGCCTCCTATCACCTGTGACAGTGAGAGCCCGAATTCTATTGCAAGATCTGTGGCGTAGAAAACTCCCCTGGGACACACCTGTTGATGAAGGCCTCCAACGAACATGGTTGTTTGTGGAAACACCACGTAAATTTGTTAATGCAAACCTTTCGATCCGTAATCCCGGATCTTCATCAGTTCTAATAATATGTGAAAATAATATAATGATAACAACAATAATATATAACATCTGTAATATATAACCATTTCATTATAATTATTTCGAGTGAGATGCCAACAAAAATCTCGATATTTACCCCAAAAAACGACTCATCTTATAAGTTCATTGGCGAAGTAATTTTAAAAATAAACCTGTTGCATGTCTAAGCCGAGAAAATCAAAGTTAAAGTTTATGTAAATCAACATGAATCTGTTATCATTCACATATACAGACTCCTTCACGCCCATGATTTCTTTTGTGTTTTTATTTTGATTTTTTTTATATTAATATTAAATTGTTAAAATTCTTGTTTAATGCATTCAGTTCAATCCTGTTTAATACATAACAATTTAAATATTTAATAAGATAAATAATGGCAATAGTGAATAGAATTAAAAATATAAATATTGCTTTGATATTATTGTCAGTATCAAAAATTTACTAAAGTGTGAAGTGTAGTTTATAAATTATATTGTAATTGTTATATAAAAGTTGTTGTCATATTATTAGCACTGATGAAGATCCGGGCTTACGGATTGTCAATATGTATTTGATTACGTCACGTCCACGATCGTGCCCGAGCAGCTCTAAGTATTTTGAAAATATCCGAAATTGAGGAGATTTTGGCTCCGTTTGTCGCTAAATTTGCCCAAGCTATAATGAAACCATATTATTTAGAAAGAGAAATCTTTGTGAAAAGATGTAATCGAATTTGTTTTGCCGTACGACAAATTTGAGCGGAGATATTTGACTTTGAAGGCGATGCGGTCGGGCCGCCAATGATTAGCCTTTTACTGGTATATTATTTATATAATGAGCACACACAATGTAGGCCACAGAAAATGTTACATCAACCGCTCTAAATGAGCTCATAGATTAATTAAAAGAATGCAAAGGTATTATACTATCATGTCAACTATATTTTATTGTTAAAGTGTATTTATTTGACTAATTTGAGAATGTTTTTAGAATAGTTTTGGTTGACTATAAATTGTTTATTTAAACCCTTAAAAACCCACAACACCTGATCATTCATTCTGAGATTGGGCCGTCTGTGCGTGGTGTTTCAACAAACAAAACTATTATATGACCTGTATACTTGGTCATTACATCGAACTTGTTCACGTCAGAGAAATTAGTTTTGAAGAGAACATATGCATATTGCTTGTGTTTTCACTTTCAATGTTCTTTCATATTCCCGTGATTCAAAGTAGTTCTCATTCTTACGCACAGCGATTAGTCGGGCCGATTCGGCTTACGCTGGACTCAGCTTTAATTTAAATGATATTCGGGAAAAAATACACTGTAAACGTATCTTTATTCAAGCATTTAAGGTGGCTCCCTACAGTTTTGATTGTACAGCACACAATTGTATTCAAAAAACCATTATTTTATCATCTTGCAAAGTATGATCACGAAACTCGGCCATATAACTGCTACAATATTGCGAATTACGAAAAATAAAAAATGTCGTTAAAAATATTCGTTGCCATGGTAACAAAGCGATTTTAAAAAGGGCCAATTTGCAAATTTTTTGATAATTTTTTGAAAAGTTCTTCGGTAAAACTTTTTAATTTTTTGCACACAGTAATCCTATCTATAATTCCTTCAAATGATAGCATTTAAAAAAATCGTACGAGAAATTTTTTTTAATCCTCAAAAAGCCCTCTTTTTGGAATAAAAAAAATTCCGCTCGTACGATTTTCTTAAAACTTGCACATTTTACGCACTTCAAAGATTATAGGAAAGTGTGTGAAATTTTAAAAAATGTTACCGAAGAAAACACGAGAAAAATACATTTATTTTTATCTATGTGACGTCACAAAAATATTATCTGGCTTGTAACATCTTTCGCCGAGACAGAATTGACCGTGTTGGAGGTGGCATCTAAGTTGCAATAAAGGCTGATATTAAATCAACTCGACGTTTAGATCTTGAATGGAAAAGTGTTGAACTTGTTGTAGTTGAACTTAGTAGACCGGACAGTCGATCATTTTTACTTTACACGTTTTACCGTCCTCCCGATTCATTGCCTGAAGTTCTTCAGCACCTTAACTTATCGTTGCAAAGTAATCAAGAATCTGACAGTTGTGTTGTTGTTGGTGATTTCAATTTGCCCATGCTGGACTGGTCGAATGATCAAGCTGCGCCTGTTAATATCGGGGGAAATGCAAGTGGTAATGTGCTTTGTGAATTGGTTCGAGACAATATTTTACATCAATTCATAGAAGGCAAGACACACGAAGCAGGTAATAAACTAGATTTACTGCTATGTAATTGTCCAAGAGACTATTGAGAAAGTAACCACAACACCAGCTGACGAATGCCGTTTTCCATCAGATCCGTATATCATAGATTTTACAATCAGACTTAAGTTTGAACGCACTAAGCCTGTTAAACGCCAAGTCTTCAATTATTACCAGGCAGATTTCGAACGCTTGCGCCACTCCTTGTCCCGCATCTCGTTTGAAAATATTTCTTCCTATGATAACATTGATGATCGTCGGTCTTGCTGGAAAACATTATTTATAACTGCAGTGAGTGAACATGTTCCTACCAAATTTATCAAAGATATTAACACTCCGCCTTGGATAGATCAGGTGCCATCTAATTAGAAAGAAATACTCGGCCTCAAAAAGATACAGAAAAAATAAATCTGATGCCCTCAAAAAGAAACTTTGGGATATTAGTCAAGCTGTTAAATGTCAAATTAAGAGAAAATATCGTGAATACCTAACCAAGATCGATAAATCCTTAAATTCTAATCCCAAAACTTTCTGGAGTTATCATAAGGCTATGTTACATCAAAGAACAAATCATATTTCTGCGATCATTTACAACGGTGTCACAGCAACTAATCCAATTGAAAAAGCAGAACTACTCAATGCCAATTTCCTGAATTATCAGGAGTTTTGCTCAGAACTTGCTGAATTCCAATTGACTACGGACGAGGTCCTTGCTTATATAATATCTGAATTCTTTGGATACATCTAAAGCATGTGGTCCTGATGGGATACCAGCGCGTTTACTTAAAGAGTGCAGTTTCCAGATAGCACCCAGTTTGTGCGATTTGTTTAACTATTCGTTACATATAGGACGTCTTCCATCAGAGTGGAAAGCAGCTGACATCACTCCGATACATAAAAAAGAATTAAGAGAACCAGCTGAAAATTATAGGCCCATATCTCTTCTTCCAATTATAGCCAAAGTTTTGGAACGTTGTGTGAGTAAAAGGCTATATGATCATATGTAATAAATGCTATTTCTCCACAACAACATGGATTTGTAAGGAATCGTTCGTGCGTAACTCACCTCTTACAAGTGCTTCATTTAATCGGACAAAACCTAGACAAAAATATCCAAACAGATATACTGTATTTAGATTTCGCCAAAGCTTTCGACTCCGTCGACCATAATTTGATAATAGAAAGCTTAAGTTTTTGGGTGTTAAAGGGATGGTTCTCAATTGGTTTCGAGACTATCTTAATAATCGGACTCAAAAGGTTGTCATAGAAGGGGTATGCTCTGGCTGGACACATATGACTTCTGGTGTGCTTCAGGGCAGCACACTGGGACCTTTGCTGTTTGTTATTTTCATAAACGATCTTCCGAATGCTGTGCCACAGACAACGAAAGTTGCGCTATATGCTGACGACACCAAATCATTCAGAGGAATAACTTCCGAAGGTGATTCTTGTGACTTACAACAAGCTCTATCTAATTTCTCGACCTGGAGTAGCAACAGCAACATTTCTTTTAACGAGTCGAAATGCAAGACGATGACAGTTACTAGGAAGAAACAACCTATCCCCTTTATCTATCATCTTGACCTGTTTCCTATCAATAAGGAAAAGAAGAAAAAGATCTCGGTGTACTAATGACCAGTAGCCTATCATGGGATTCCCACATCCAAAGAATATCTGCGAAAGCCAATAGAATGCTCGGGCTACTGAAAAGAACCTGCCCTCTCTTGACTCAAGTGCATGTCAGGAGAACTCTGTATTTAGCCCTTGTCAAATCACAAATATGCTACGCAAGAGCAAATACAAAGGCGTGCCACTAGATGGATCCTGAAAGTTAAGGTGGGAGATGTTGACAGGTTATGTACGTGTATATTACGCGTTTCGACTGGTCGGGTTTTTATGATTGATGTCACCAAATGACGTTTTATAATTATTTTAACATAGGTCCTATCACTTTGGCGTGAATGCGTGTAAACGTGCTTTCAACGATTTTTAATTTTTAATTTTATGTAAATTTGTAAATGTCGACAGAAGTTAAATTGGAAGGTAGCCTCGCATGGGCTATTATGGCCCGTTCGCTATTTTCCCGTTTAGGAACTGCATGTTTGTTGTATTTGTACGTTATTAATGTAATATATTTAGTTCCTAATAAAGTTGTTAAAAAAAAATAAATCAGGATTTCAATTTCCTCGCGCGACCAGGTGGTAAGCACCCATGGTCCCATGCAAGACTACTCCCAAGCACTTTTCTACTACCGGTATACGGTAGTAAATACTCAATCTTCAATTGAGTTTTCAAACTCAATCTTCCTCCACAATGATCTTTTTTCACAAGTTGATTTTTTTAATGTAACTGTTCCATTAAAAACCCGTTTTTCTATATAATTTTGTTCAAAAAGCTGTCGAAAACTGTTTCACTTCTGAGACACAAAATCTCGTAAAGGAATACTCATGCCCATGCACACTAGAAATGTGCATCACAAACGGGGCCGCACATTACGGGGGGTGTGAAGGAGTGTGACACCCCCATAATTTTGAGAAATAGTAAAAAAGTCTGTCCCAAATTAACCATTTGTCGGTCCAGACATTACGCAAAATTATAGTTTCCGTGAGATTTATTTTTTGGACAGTGTCCAAAAAATAATAAGTAAGGTTACAGAATTGCTAATTGCCATTAAACACTGCCTGAATCAACTTCCTTTATGTGCTTTACATTAACCAGCTGATGGCCACACTAAAGTCTGAAAATGCCATTTCCGACGATCTAGAGACTTCAAAGTTTCAAAATTTTTTCGCTTGGCGCCAACCATGGTGGCACCTCGAGTAACCTGAAGGTCAGGCCCTAATCACAGAATAGGGCCTGACACAAAACCTATCTAAACTGTAGGATTCCCGTCCATCTGGTGGACGGGAAATCTGATTGGTTGATCAGCATCATGAAGGATTTTGATTGGTTGCAAGTTTACATAAACAACAGTTTTAAAAATAGCTCGGTCAAGGCGACAATTAATAATATAAAGGTCAAACGCACGTAACAAATTCCATTATTGATTTCTTCGAATTTCTTTTCTTTTATGCTTTGTGGCAGAAAATAAATCAAACGAACAGTATTTTGAAAGGGCTTTATCAAAATCTTGGACGAATTTTGGACACACGACGCTGAAAGAACAGCCAAACTAGTCATGTATTCGAAAGCTTGTTGTTGAAAGCCAAGATGCTCTGCCAACTGGCTTCGCCGGCAAAAGTCTTATTTTTAATATCAGGTCCTACCGGCGTTGTTTTCTGAGCTACATCGCCTTCTTCGTGGTACGATTGAGAATTTCATTGTTGCTGTTGTTAGCCCGTTAGAGTATATCCGCGCGTCCAGCAAGTTGAGACCTTGAGAAAGCTTGGCAGTCAAGCCGTGCACAGGACTGACTAATTATAAATCTTTGTTTGCTGTTCGGTTAAATAGAGAAACTGACTCTTAATTATATAAAAGTACCTTGAATTTTTAAGTTTAGTTATCAAGCAAAATGCACACTCTGCGGACATGTTCATGAGAAATTGAAAATATAAATTTTTTGTGTAACGAAATCTACAACACTTGTCAATCATATTGCATGTTGTGTCTAAAAATAACATGTGGGCGTCCCACGGTCTAGACAGGTTTTGTGTCAGGCCCTATTTCAAATTAGGGCCTGAACTTCAGGTTACACCTCGAGGAACTCTCTCTTCCAGAATGTAAACGCGTAAAAGTCGGTCCCGAAGTATTTTACACCCCTCCAAAATATTTTGGAATGTGCGCCCCTGACATAAAATATTTTAACGTCCTCCCCCCAAAAAGAAACTCAATCTTCTTCTGAAAAACTGTAGTAGACTAAAGTGCTTGAAAATATCCCTGCCTAAATACGGAGATTAATTAAAAAAATTTTAAAGACCTAATTACACGTCTTATGAAACGCTGGGCCCAACCACAGGCTGCCCAATCTTGCAAGGGTCAGTATAGACAACATAGTAATGTATATTATAGCAATGAAATGAATATGAAATTGACTTGCCTATTTGATAGTGTATTAGCGTGTGTTCTCCTTTTATTCCTCCTTTGTTTATTCCCTTTAGAAGAGATATGACTCTTACACGCAAAACGCGGGACACTCGCGCGCAGACAATCAGTGGATTATTGAGATCAGTGTAGGGTAGACAAGAGCGCGCTAAGTAAAACACTAAACTCGTGTAGGAATTTCATATTAAAATTTATATTTCACTGTTTTTTTGTGCTACATCGAGTACTTTTCGAGGCTAAATATCGTTACATCGCAACATTTGGCGATCCTGCCAGGACAATTCGTGGAATTTGGGGTTTTTAAAGTGAATTTCGTGGTTAAGATTGGGCCCCATCATCGTCTTAAACCATTAACAGTTCCAATCTATTATGGTGATAAAACTAGATTTGAGGATTTTTGGGCATTTTTCATCAGCCTAGTTGACGAAGGGAGTGAGCCTGTAAATATTAAAATGGCTCGACTACGTCAAAGTCTTTCAGGAAATGCCCTTGATTCAATTCGTGGACTGGGTGTTACGGCGCCAGAGTATAATGAGGCTAAGGACATATTAATATCTAAGTTTGGTGGACAACGTCGTCAGTTGCAAGCTTACCTCGATCAGTTAGAGAATATGCCCACTCTAAAGAACAATGACCTTCAGTCTTTCGAAAAGTTTGCTGATCTTGTGCGGGTAACCGTAGTGAAGTTGGAGGCTGAAGGGCGCAGTGGGGAACTGGGAGATGGTGCATTGCATAGCCTGCTGGTAAAGGAACTATCGGAACGACAAGTAGAAAATTACAGTCGATGGCTTAGTGAACAACATAAGATACGGTCAGTGAAAACCTTGAGAGACTGGCTAAAGGAAGAAGTAATCATCTGAGTTGAGGCTACAGAAATGGCCCAAGGAGTTGAACCTAAGCAGACTAGAGAATATGACAGAAGAAGGTCCAAGCCAACTGAAAGAGGTTATCGACCTCGAACCTGGTTCACTAATCGAGATGGAAAACACAGCAACAATGACGATACACTCACCCGTATTCAAAGCCACCTTGCGCAGTATGTGGTGGCAATCATGGGGTTTGGTTCTGTAAGGTATTTTCTGGCTTGAGTGTGCCAGATCGTCGGGGAGTCGCAAAGGAAAAACATTTATGTTTTCGATGTCTTGCAAGTAATCATGTCGGTAAGGACTGCACCAGGTCGGAAAGTTAAAGTCAACGCTATTCTGGATGATGCTTCCAATGAAACATTTCTAAATGAACAAGTTTCTGGGGTGTTAGGACTTCACGAGCCGTACAAGACAGTTAAAGTTCATGTGTTAAACAATGAAGTTGAAACGTTCCAGTCATACCCGCGGAGGTTATGATTGAAAGTGTTAACGGACAGTATCGCAAGGAAATTAGTGTCAAAACGTGCCCTCAGAACGTAACGGGAAGCTACAAAGTAGAGGATTGGTCAAAGAATAAAACCAACTGGCCACATCTTCAGAGTTGTGATTTTGCAACACCAGCAAAGGAAAGTTTAGTGGACTTATTGATTGGAGTGGACAACGCAGATTTACTGTATTCAAGAGCAGATGTTCGGGGGGAAGCAGGAAGCCCAATAGCCCGACTCGGACCACTAGGATTGGAGCCACAGAGAAACAGCAAAGAACTGACTGTAGAACGCACACCATTAGAACATTTTTGTCCAGGAGTACTGCAGAAATTACATCCTGTTGCCAGATCGATGAACAGGTCAAGAGATTCTGGGAAGTTGAAAGCTATGGTACAGCGAACATGATTTCGATGGTTCATGCTGCAGAAGATAGGGAAGCTCTGAAGAAGGTGAAAGAATCAATCAGCCACAATAGTGCAACGTCGAGATACAAGATCGCCACTCCTTGGAAAGAGAATCGTCCAAAACTCCCAGACAGCAAAAACAATGCATTATCGAGACTCGGTAGCACTGAGCGGAAGTTGAAGAAGGATGAAATCGTGAGCAGGGAGTATCAACATACAAATGAATCGTATTTGGAGAAGGGCTACTTGCGGAAAGTCGGAAAAGACGAAGTGATACCTCTCGAAGTACAGTATGGTATTTGCCACATTTCCCAATTATTCGAATGGACAAGACAACGACAAAAGCACGGATTGTTTTCGATTGTTCGGCTAATACAGACGGACTATCCTTGAACGATGTCATTAATCCTGGACCGAAGTTACAGAAGGAGCTTTTCGATGTATTGCTTCGTTTCCGGCGTCATCCAGTAGCATTTGCTTGCGATATTAAAGAGATGTATCTGCAAGTGGAAATTGAAGAAAACGATCGTCCATATTTTCGAGTTCTGTGGCGTGATCTAGACAGTACGAAAGAGCCCGATGTTTATGAGTTCACTCGTGTCGTCTTTGGCAAGAATTCGGCCCCTATGGAGGCGCAGTTCATCGCACAAGAGAATGCAAGACTACACCAAGAAACCCATCCATTAGCGGCAGGAACCGTCTTAAAGTCGACTTACATGGATGACTCGATAGACAGTGTGGAGACAGACGAGATCGGCGTTAAGTTATATCGGCAGTTAAGCTCGCTTTGGAATCATGCGGGAATGCAGGCAAGGAAGTGGGTTTCGAATTCGGAAGCGGTTATGGAGGCGATCCCAGTGGAGACCAAGCAGTGCAGCTCACAATTACTGATGACAAATATCCAGTTGTTAAAACCCTTGGTGTTGCTTGGGACAGCAAAGAAGATATCCGGACACTACCTGCTTCTAGAGTCTCCTCCAACCTTCCACTAACCAAGCGTAACGTTTTACGAAAAATTGCTGCGGTATTTGGCCCACTTGGGTTTGTCAGTCCATTCGTAATGGTCGCCAAGGTTATATTGCAAGAACTAGGATATCAGCATGGTTTGAGCAGTTACATGATGTCGCAACAATACATGTGCCAAGGTGTTTATGTGAGAACAAGGTAGTAGCTCGTCGAGAAATGGTGACATTCGTTGACGCTTCACTAAAGTCATACGGAGCTGTTGTCTATTTGAGATGTACATACGGGGATGGCACTCGCTCTAGCAGATTAATCACCTCTAAGAGTAAGGTAGCACCGTTGCTGCCAATGACGGTACCTAGCTAGACTAGAATTAATGGCTGCAGTTCTCGGCCTACGACTTACCAGAATGTTTTTCGAGCGTTTGAAATGAACATGCAGGATGTTAGTTTCTATTCTGACATGTGCTGACGTTCTGTGGTGGACTCGTGGCTATGGGAGAGACTTTCGACCGTTTATAGTTAACCGATTTGGAGAGATACAAATGTATAGCAATCCTGCACAGTGGCAGCACGTTCCAACTGATGAAAATCCTGCGGACCTGTGCACGCGAGGTGCAATACCCATTACCAGAAATATGGGACAAGATGGCGACGGACATGCGCACTTTGACCAAATATGGCGACCAAATATTACTATAAACTATATGGGAGTTGATCAAAATATCAAATTTTAGTATACTTTGTTTAAATATTTCATTGGTGCGGAGCTCGATTATAGTAGCGACACGAACAAGCAATATTTCTAAACAAAAATCGCTAGTATTGCATCGCGTCTAGCAGGTTCCTGAGAATGTTGTATTTTTACACGCAATTCGATGAATTTCATAGTGTAATTTATAGTAAACTTGTGACACAAGAGGTAAATATCCGACGAATAGACCAACATCCATTCGGACGATGCGAAGTGCGGAGCTCGCGATATATTTAATGATGTCCAAACTGTTAATTTAGCTAAATAAATCCGCTGTAATTGCCAGGGAAACTAGTTCCCGAAACGTGTAAAAGTTCGCCTTTTCACGGTTCTTGTATGTCGCCATTAAGCCATCTTAATATCAAAAAATAGGTACGCAATGCGTACATGTGGCTAGCCTGGTAAACTTTAACTCCCCAAACCCTCCTCCAAACCCAGAAAGCCTGCCATGCTGGTTAACTTTAATAGTAATAAGAAGACACACCACGATGGTCAGAATGCGCACATTTTCTCCCACTTGTGCAGGCTCATTTTGTCAGTGGAGTTTCACGGCACACTTGAAAAAATACCGTGTCATATCTCGTCGCTTCCCATGTAAATAGCGAATTCATGAATAACACTTGAATAAACACAAATATGTGAATTTGCACGCTAGGCTTTTGAATATAACGATTGTAAAAAGTTTCCGCGTGATCTATTAGCAATTTAAAAGATACCTAAACTGTAATACTGCCATATATTTAATCTCGCGTTTGTTATTTGCGCAGCAGCAGTTTTCCGTGGAATTAAAATTACGTGTCATATGATATTTTTAATAGGCAAATAGCGTTTGAGATATAGCAACATTAACAAACAAATACACTGAAATCTTGGTTAGCACACCAACTTTTACCACTTTTAATGCAATATTACTAAACTGTAATACTGCCATATTTATTTAATCTCGCGTTTGTTATTTGCGCAACAGGAGTTTTGCCGTGGAATTAAAATTGCGTGTCATATGATATTTTAATAGGCAAAAAGCGTTTGAGATATAGGCCTAGCAATATTAGCAAACAAATACACTGAAATCTTGGTTAGCACACCAACTTTTACCACTTTTAATGCAATATTAGTCAACTTATAAGAGAACGTGAGACAAATCATGCTGAATTATTCCACTATATAATTCCTAAGACAGACAGACGCAATAATCCTTTATAGGTTTATTACAAATATGTAGACATTTGAGACGCCGTCAATGTCTGAAGAAAAGTTATACTTAAAGCCTTTAAATTAGTCGTTAAATAAACGAGTTCGATGTACAGTTTCTGGTCTTTTACCATAATTATCCAATGCTGGTTTTATTCGCTGCATTATAAACGTACCTCCTCCAAACAATACCCCTTCTTTAAAATACCAAACATTTCGAATCCAATTGAGATATGAAATCTCAACAAGAAGACAATTCAAGATGGCAAATGGCCCGCAAATTCAGTCAAAAGTGCAAATCAAAACCCATATTTACACGGCAAGTACGCGCAATTTCTGATCGGTTTCGACACCATAGGTTGAAGCCATGAAGATAAACTTTATTTTAATTTTCTGGTTTAACAACCTCACCAGTACTGCGTCGTAACAAACTAACAACATCACTAGTATTGCCTCGAAATGCAAATGTGAAATGTCGGCAGAAAAATACGGGCGCTTCCGATTGCTCCCGATACTTTACGAAAATCCGGACTGGACACCATGATCATCATCGCTCATCGCGTTTCAGTGTGTACTATGTGATAATGGCTAGCCCGCAAACGGGCTAGCCACAAAAACGACAAGTTTTAATACAAATTTGAGCTGTTTCAAGCAGCCATGTTTCTTGTTTATTTTGAAGGACTAGATCCCAGGCTCTCACGTAAAAACACAGGGATATTTTAGGATTTTTTAGGATATTTGCTATATTTTTAGTTTTGATAAAAATTTGCGGGGTTAAAGGTCAAAGTACCGGAAGTGATCAGCAAAAACTGCAAAATATAGTTTAAAATCACAGTTTTTGGTTGAACAATACTTGAACTGGAGATTCAAAATAAAATGCGAAGTCGTATGACTTATATTAGGCAATGTTGGGCATATAAAACGGACTTAGCCGCTGACTACAAAAGCGGGAGCAAAATGTCCCATATTTCTGGTAATGCGTTGCAATTGTCCAAGTCTACGTTGTGGTGGAATCATAGATATAGGAGGTATAGATCGCCGACGCAGCTCGCAACGCGTGACATTTTGAACAATCCAAGATGGCGGAACAAGCGGGCAAAAAAAAGCGCGGGAAATTTTTTTGCTGCTAAAGGCATATAGTTTTCGAGCGTTCTCAAGTTTACAGCTATTTTTAAGAGAGTTAAAGTTGTCTGATTTCCGTTTTTTGGCTTCTGAGTGACAAAAATATTGAACAAGATTCATTTGCGTTCGTTTTAATTGCCAAAACATGCCACAGTTTTGTGTGGCGTACAATTGTACGAAGAGAAGAGTGCCATCAAATGATATGGAACTAATATTGCATTTCACAGGTAGATAGAATATGGAATTTATTGAAGTTTTAATGCTATTTTTCCGACTATATGGGTGTTAACATAGTTAATTGTAATGTACATAGTATCTGTTACCTTTTATGCTCTGTTCTTCTGCAGAAAACACGATTTTTTTATAGTTTTTTCATCGTCGATTGTTTATGCAAAAAATTATTTAGCTCGCCGTTTAAAGACGCAGTAGACGTTTTAAGAGGCTATCTCCGTAAAAACCTCCAGGTCAGTATGGGACTCAAAAATAGATTTCTCTCATACTCTAGTATTTTGAAGATCTATCCTTGGGAACAACTAAAATCGATGTCATTTTACTCAAATTTCCTTTAAATTATTTTGGGGGGCGATTGATGTTCGATCGACTGGTAACCAACTTGATACTCCGAATGAAGGCCAATATCGACATATTTTCAGCGCTATTTTTAAAATCAAATTCATACCTAAATTTCAAAATTTTTGCTTTCAAAATTTCAAAATTTTGTGATATGACTTAGATCTCAGTTTCCGGCAATATGGCGACTAAGAAACAATCTCTGAAGCGTTCTGCGCAAAATTTGAATATTTCAATGACAAAGACGCCCACTAAGCCAGTTCAGTCGAATATTTCAAAACCTAAGGACACAATGAAAAGTGAGGACGACAAAACAACTTCTAAATTTGAATACGGTTGATGCAAATATTGATCCCAGTTCTCAAGTATCGAAGGAACCCGCTCCTAAAGTGTCGAAAAAGCAGAAAAAGAGCAAGAAGAAGAAAATGAAGGCCAAGGAGGACATTGAATCGGCAGAAAAAATGTTTCTCCGCCTCGTCAAGCACATGCTGCCCCCACTAGCGGTATGGAAAATGTGAATGACGATGTTGCAGCTACCACGAGCAAGAATAGAGCAAAAGAAGTGGTGGTAATTGTTGGTGATTCACTAATTAAGAATGTTGTCGGAGCAAGCGTGAGCAAGACTGACCCTAATCACTATTACGTCGTTAAAGCATTCCCTGGTGCAAATCTTTCTGATATGGAAGACTTCATTAAACCTATCACCCGAAAATCACCCGAAAAAATCATCTTTATATGTTGGAACGAACGACTTAAAGAATTCTCCTGCAAAAGTAATTGCCGATTCACTACTGAATCTGACGACCCAGATAAAGGAAGACTCGCCAACTACTGTGGTAGGTGTATCAGCTTTGTTGACCAGAAATGATAATGCAAACCTAGCCACTAAAGTTAAACAAGTTAACTTTATCCTAGATAATTATTGTCGTATGAATAAGATACCATTCTTAAGAAATGCTAATGTGAACAATTCTCACTTGAACAATAAAGGTCTACATTTAAATAAACAAGGCAGCGAAACTCTACAAAACAATTTTATTGAATTTACTAACAATTTTAATGAATGACTTGTTACGTATAATGTTGCTGAGTCTCTTGATAATGCGAATGCTGTCAATTCTAATACTAATAGCGACATAAATCCGCTTTTACCTAAGATGAGTGGTTTCAAAATTGCGTCACTTAATATAACTAGTTTAGTAAAACACATTGAGGAACTTCGAATTTTTCTAGCCGATAATATTATTGATGTTTTGGCTATCAATGAGACAAGGCTTGATTCTGCGGTTAGCGATAATGAGGTGCACATACAAGGTTATGAAATTGTTCGCCGCGATAGATACTTAAACGGTAGATGCGGTGGTGGTGTTTGTTTTTATATACGAAGTTGCATTAATTTTTCGGTACGATACGATTTGAAATTTGATGAATTGGAAAATTTATGCATTTCAATCAATAAACCTAGATCTAAGCCTTTTCTTATAGTGACATGGTATAGGCCACCAAATTCGGTCGTGGATAAGTTTAATCACCTAGAAACGTTACTAGGCAAACTTGATGCTGAAAATATTGAGTACTATCTGGTGGGTGACCTGAATTGTGATTTAAGCTCTACAGTCTTGGATCATAGTTCAAGGTTGCTCATTGATATTGCTGAAACATTCGATCTTCAACAACTGATAACTGAACAAACTCGAATTACAAGTTCATCGTCAACATTGATAGATCACATTTTTACAAACGCTCCTGATAGAGTGGTCTGCTCTGGTGTTTCTCACATTAGTATAAGTGATCATAGTCTTGTTTATGCCTTTAGAAAACTTTCCGCCAGAATGCCGACAAGAGGACATACTACAGTAAGCTATAGAAAGTTTAAAAACTTTGATTCTGCCAAATTTCGTAATGATATTAGTCAGCAAAACTGGGACTTTATCCATCAATTTAAGAATCCTAATGATATGTGGCATACTTGGAAAAACACATTTAATTTTGTTGTAGAAAAGCATGCTCCTTTACGCACAAAGCGTGTCAAGGCCTCTAAAGCGCCTTGGATTTCATCTCACTTGAAAGGTGAAATGCACAAAAGAGATATTCTTAAAATCAAGGCAATCCGGTCTAATGATCCTTTAGATTGGCATATTTTTAAGAAAATGCGAAATTCCGTAAATCAAAATATTGCCCGGGCGAAGGAAAACTATTTTAAACGTGCGTTTTCTGAAAATAAATCCAACTCGAAAAAGACCTGGAATATTATTAATGATCTCACATCTAAAAATCGAAAAAGCTCGCATATTCACGAAGTTGATTTGGATGGTAATTTGATTAACGATTCCAACAAAATTGCTGATGCTTTTAATGAACACTTCTCTAACATTGGTCCGAAGCTTGCAGATAATGTAGATGTTAATCAGAATAATCGTTGTTATCTCGATTATTTACCTAGTCAAAATAACAACATCCGTTTTCAATTAAAAGAAACTAATTTCTCTGCAATTTTTCGTCCAAGCTAAGTAGGTCAAAAGCTACTGGTCTGGACAAAATTTCGTCCCGCCTACTTCGAGAGTGCCCTGATTTAATAGCGGAATCTCTTAGCTACATTTTTAATCGATCAATTGTCTCCGGAGTATTCGCAGATGAGTGGAAACACGCTAAAGTTGTCCCAATACACAAACAAGGGAAACGTAATTGCCCTGACAATTATCGTCCGATTTCCATTGTCTCGGTAGTGGCTAAGGTTTTCGAAAGGATAATTTATGATCAGCTGTATTTATTTCTATCTGAAAATAGTCTGTTAACTAATTGTCAGTTGGGATTTCGTGGTCTACATTCTACTGTTACCGCCCTTCTTGAGGCCACTAACGATTGGGCTTATAATATCGATCATGGAAGCGTAAATGCTGTCCTGTTTCTCAACCTCAGGAAGGCGTTTGATACCGTAGACCACGAGATTCTTTTAGGAAAACTAAATTCATATGGCATCAATGGTGTTGCTGGCAACTGGTTCAGACCATATCTCAGTGAACGGAAACAAAAATGTTTTGTTAATGGTCATTTTTCGACAAATCGTTTACTCCGTTGCGGAGTTCCCCAGGGAACTATTCTGGGGCCACTTTTATTCTTAATCTATATCAATGATCTCCCGAATTGCCTCTCACTCACGTGCACGCATGTATGCAGATGACACTCATTTGACTTACGCAAGTAACGATATTGATGACATTGATCATCACTTCAACGAAGATCTTGCTAAAGTCAGTGAGTGGTTAGTAGCCAACAAACTTACTTTAAACCAATCTAAAACAGAATTTATGCTAATCGGCTCCCGTCAAAGGATTAGTACTTTCAACTCTAGTCATTCACCGACAATAAATGACATACCAATTAAACAAGTCTCTCACACAAAGTCACTTGGTGTACATTTAGACGAGAACTTGACTTGGAATGTTCATATCGAGAAATTATGCAAAAAGTCGCTTCTGGCATAGGTGCATTAAAGCGTATAAGGCCATTCGTCCCACCTTCCACAATGCAACTTATTTACAATTGCTTAGTTCAACCCTATTTCGATTACTGTTGCGTTGTCTGGGATAGTTGCGGCAGTACTCTTGCGAATAAACTGCAAAAACTCCAAAATTGAGCCGCTAGAGTACTTAGTTCATCTAGTTATGATACAAATGCTGAATATCTAATTGAAAAATTGAGCTGGAAAAACCTTGAATCTCAGCGAAAAATTGCCAAAGCTATAATGGTCTATAAATCTCTTAATGGTTTTGTGCCACACTACCTGTCTGAAATGTTTGTTGATCGAAGTAGCGTAACAAATTTTACATTGAGAGACACCAGTAGAAAATTAGCTTTAGCTCAACCACGCACAAATTACCTGAAAATTACCTGTTTTAGCTATAGTGGTTCTGTGCTGTGGAACTCCCTTCCGGTTGAGTTGAGACAGTCTAACTCATTGCGTAAATTCAAGTCAGACTGCAGCAACTTTATACATTAGTCAATAATTTTAGATTTTTATATTAATATATTAGCACGGCACTTATGGAAAACAGGTATTCTTGTAATATATAATTAGTATTAGTATAGTATGTATACATAATTAGTATCTTAATTAACTTTTATATTCTGTAATCTGTAACTATATTGTATTCTCTTATCATCTTTTATGTAAAATCCTGATAAGTCTACCGTGGGTAAATAAAGTTCACAATCACAATCATGTAGTTGGGCATTTTTTAAATTTTGCCTAAGCGCATTGCATTGTGGTCGAATTTAGATAGACCCACAATGCTATGTGTGAAGCAACTTTAATATATAATTGTTTGTCCCCATGTGTTTCCTTTCCGTTGGACCTTCTGGCAAATAGGTAAGACATTTTGTAATTGTTACTTTCTTAGTTTTTTTTAATAATTTTGGTCTGTTTTGGTTTCTAAATGCATCATATCATTACATTTCAGCACAGATTATTAAATATCGTGGGTTATTAATTAATCGAGACTGCAGGTAAGCAAATCGCAAATATACTCATGCCGTTCGGTCTGTTCGGAAGAACAATGACTTGATTATGAAGAACAATGACTTGATTATGCAATTTTTGTTAAGCCCATGCAATGACTTGATTATGCAATTTTTGTTTTAACAGAGATTTGGATATTCATATTCTCCTGAATTTGGTGAAGCTTTTAAAGCACAGTAAGTTGTTGTTGAGTAATTTTATTGCAGAATTTTATAGATCCGATTTCACTTGCTGAATCTGAACTTGCTTTGGTGTATTAAACATAGAGCCATATTAAAACAACAAAGTGTTGTATATTTGATAGACAGTGAACTTATATTTATTGACATTAATGCGCATTGCCATTTATTGAATATTTGCTGTTAATTGTGTGTGTTCTGTTAATTGTGCGTGTCCCTGCAACCCGGGTGCATTCCATGCAAAGTCCACGCCGAAGATACGCCAATATTAACTATAGATAGTATTGTAATTTGCCAAACTCACGCCGAAGATCTTCGGCGTGGGCCACTTAATACCCTGGCCCTGCAAACATAATATGTGCTGTTGAATGTTGATTGCAAATATATTTCTAGCCTGCGTGCAGCCGACTTTAAATGGGGAGACGTATATTTCATGCCGTTCGCAGAGGCCAGACGATATTATTAAAGAACAATGACCTGATGATGCAATTTTGTTTTAACAGAGATTTGGATATTTGTATTCGTATTCTGGATTTTGGTGAAGCTTTTAAAGCACGGTAAGTTCTTGTAAATTATTTTGTAGAATTTTATAGATATTATAGATATTTTACTATCTTCGATTTGAACAAGACTTGATGATGCAATTTTTGTTTTAACAGAGATTTGGATATTCGTATTCTGGATATTTGGTAAAGCTTTTAAAGCACGGTAAGTTGTTGTAAATTATTTTATTGTAGAATTTAACCGAACCACACAGGTGTCATAAGATGGTGATATAAGGAGAAAATCATCAAGTAAATGTAAAATAGAATCGATGAGAAGTTTTTGTTGAGCAATCCACTGTATAGCCGTACTAAAAATTTCAAATGTTTTACACGAGCTGGCTGCCCCCATAGGAAGGCATCGATCATAATAATACCTGCCCTGCCATTTCATACCCAGTAAATAGTGGTCCTCTGGTCGAATAGGAATAATACGGAACGCATTTTTAATGTCTGTTTTCGCAAGAAAACACCCCTTTCCGTTGGATTTGATTAAACATATTGCATCAGCCACGGCGGCATAATGCACACTAGTATCCTCAGAACCAATGCCATCATTGACCGAAGATCCTCGTGGGAAAGATAAATGATGGATCAATCGAAATTCACCAGGAGACTTTTTAGGCACAAGACCCAAGGGAGAAACTCGGAACGGATGAAATGGCATGGCATGAAAAGGTCCAGCGATTCTGCCAGCGACTAATTCTTTAGAGAGTTTTTGCGTAACAACGTTTTGGTGTGCTAAAGCTGAAGTCAAATTTTTACCTTCAGTTTGGTTAATGAAGCCGTGAAAATGTAAAGAAAAACCATGCGTAAAACCTGAAACAAGTGTTTTGCTATCGTTAGGGTTATAACCCTGTAAAAATGAATTAAGATGATTTATTTGTATGGGGGTTGGGAGCGGCATTGTGCTTATCAATATATTCGTCGTTCCAAATTTTGTTTTTTAATTTTGTTGTGATCCTGGAGTCAAGAGGCAAATGGATCGATTCATAGGGTTGACTTGGCATCGCAGAATAAGAGGAAGGCTCACCTGCAATGGCGGAATGGACAGACTGTAAAGCTTCTTCCACAATACCAGAAACAATGGCGGGTTGTTCGGTCGAGGTGGATGCTCCCCATCGCGACAACTGGGGCCTCAACAACAGCGTCCGAAAACTCCGCTTGATGGTGTGGTGTAAGTCGCCAAGTAACTTCAGCAGTAACTGTTGACACGATCTGCTGAAGAAGCTGCGGGGAGATGGTACTAGCATCAGGCGCTGCCGAGGTACTGGTGACGTTGACAGGTTCGTGTACGGTTGAGCTCGTTGTTGGACCAGCGGACGGAGAAGCAATGGTTGGCTTACACAAGGTCGCTGTGACGGTGATGGATTGGCCGGAGATTTCGACGACTTTGCGTTTTGAACTCTTATAACCTTTAGGTGGCATAATGAACTGAAAAAGAAATTACTGCAAAATGGATTAGAAGTTAGTTGCCCCTCTGAACGCAGATCGTGTAAGGAACGCGAACGTGATCGATAAATAGGAGAATTTTAAAGGGGAAGTCAAGTCCGTAATGTAAACAAACGGTTTGTTTACATTTTGAACTGCTGTATTTTTTAAAATATGATGTACTGTCTGAATATCTAACACCATTTTGGTTTGCTATGCTTCTAAATGAATATGAAATAAAGTTTATGTTCAGAAACATTCGAAAAAATTCGAAATTTGGGCAATTTTCACATTAGAGGTCCTCACATTGTTATGCGCAGAACCGATGCGCACAATGGACTTGACTTCCCCTTTAACTGACTGGGTCAAGCTTGGCCACACTAAAACGGTGACCGCACCACTTGCCCAAAACGCCAGATGGAAAAAACGAGGGCGAAGCCTCGACTTACAGTGTGTACAGGCACGGCCTGTACTCTTTGTCTTGGAGACTATTTGCGACAATTCCTTGACATCAATGTTACTATATACTGCATGACCACTAAAGTTTAATTCTAGCGAAAACAAATATATAAGGTTTTACAACAATACTCATGATTAAATCCGTTTAACTTACAAAGAATACAAAATAAATGTAATAGAAGATATCAACTCACCAAATGTCAAGGTACATACGATATAAATAATTAAACGTTAACTATTAACTTGTTCAAAGAAGTCTTAGCAAAGCTGTTGTCACACCCTCGGTTGCACTTTGCTTCGAGAGGGCAAAAGTCCACGCTTTCTTGTCCAAAATATGAATGTCATTAATATAATTAGTATATATAATTATGAATACTATTAATTGTAACACCGCCGTGCTGTAGTGTTGAGGGCGCCTCAACATAGTACCCCCGTTAAACAGTCGTTCAATATAAATTCATTTCGTCTCTTCTAACAAGCAAAGCTTTGCGATAGGTCTCACTAGTAACGACGACTGGGTCTTTACTTCGGCTGTGCGTACTAAACCGTCCGTGCCAGGAAACACCTTCGTCACATGTCCTAGATTCCAATGACTTCTTGGCTGGGTTGAGTCAACGACCAACACGAGATCATTCACTTGAAGATTTCTTTTCGGCACAAGCCACTTTTTCCTTACTTGAAGAATGGGAAGATACTCTCGAACCCAGCGAGCCCAAAATTGATTTGCTAGCACCTGCGCTCTCTTCCATTTCTTACGTGAGAACATCTCTGAATCTTCGAACACTCCAGGAGGAATAGCCAATCCTTGACGTTGCTGCAGGAAATGGCTTGGCGTTAGCGGTTCCATATCTTTTGGATCATCACTGCTTGGACACAACGGACAGGTGTTAAGGATACCAACAACTTCAGCGAAAAGTGTCCGCAACGTCTCACGATCCACAAAGGCATGTGGATGTCCGAGGATAGCCTTCATGACTTTGCGCACACTTCGAATTAGTCGTTCCCACACACCAGACATATGACTTGCGGTTGGTGGTTGAAAATGCCATTTCTTAAAGGGTTGGAAGTACCATTCTACTCCTTTCTCCTGTGCTGCCTTGACAATTGCTCTTTGATCCCATTCTTGCATGAGTAAGCCCAGCTCCCTTTCTCCACCAGTAAAATTTGTTCCGTTATTGCTCCATATTTCCTTACCTGCTCCACGAACGCTTATGAAACGCCTCGATAAATGCCAAGTGCCAAGATAAATGCCAAGATAAATGTTTCTAATGAACCGACATCTTCGATATGAACTGCTCTCGTGGTAAAACATACAAAGATACACCCGTATAACTTTTGCGAACTACGTCCACGTTTCACAGTAAACGGGCCAAAAATGTCCAAACCAGTGAAAGTAAATGGTGGTTCGTATAGAGTGAGTCTGGCACCAGGGAGATCGCCCATCTTCTGCGACATTGGTGATTCGTTATTCTTACGGCAGGTTATACACTGGCGAAGAATTTGACGAGTTAGCGCACATGCATTTAGTATCCAATACCTCTGCCGAACAGCTGACAGTACATGTTCCCGACCAGCGTGACCTAGGACGTGATGAAAATAAGAAATGATCAATGCGGCGATGTGATGCTCGTTGGGAACAATCATTGGATTGATGGCTTCGGATGTTATTGGGGCGTGTGTCGCAGTCGGCCGCCAACACACAGGACGCCGTTTTTCAATACCGGGCAAAGATTCACTAATCTGCTGCTGGACTTTACTCCTTTCTCAGTCGACAATGCCAAGATCTCTCTAGGAAAGAATTCCAGCTGCACCAATTTTATGATCGCTCGTGCTGAATTCTTCATCTCGACTAAGGTGATTTGGTTGGCACATGAAAGGGTATTTGGCTTGGATTGGATAAACATTGAGAATCGAGTCAACCATGCAACACATTTTTGCAGCTTTGACCATGACGAAAAACGTTTCAGCAACTCCGATAAACTGTTATCGACAGCAACAACATTTTGACAAGATTGCTTTGTTAAACCTCCTTCACCGTCTTCTAGAACTTTGTTAATCGTTGTGCATGGCCATTGATCAACGCTTTGGTGCAGAAAATCTGGGCCTGACAACCAACGACACTTTGCTTTGAACACATCTATTGGTAAGCCCCTTGATCCTTCATCTGCTGGATTGAGCTTTCCAGGAACGAAACGCCACTGATCGGACTTAGTGTGTTCATGAATCTCTTGAAGGCGTGTCGCTACGAAACGATGAAATCTTCGACTCTCGTTATATATGTACTGCAGCACGGTGGTAGAATCTGTCCAGAATATAATATTGTCGAACTTCCAGTCGAATTCTGAACAGATAAGGTTGCTCAGACGCACCGCCATGACACTCGCCAAAAGCTCTAATCTCGGAATAGTTGGCCTTCTTATTGGAGAATTTCGACATTTTCCCATTACGAAACTGCAGTGAATCACACCTTGATCATCTGTGATCCAGTCAGGACCTTGAAGAAGTTGGTCATTAAGTGATGTGTCATTGAACATCGAAGCGGCGTTGAAGACAACACACACTTTCTCTGGTTTACCAGGGTTTATCATCAGGTGATGAGGAAGATACCAGGTTTTATCGCTTTTAGTTATTGCTTCGTTCTTTGTGAGCTTTCGAGCATAACCCTTTACGACGTAATCATCTATGATAGCGAGATATTTCGTTTTCAACTTAGGATCTCGTTCAAGTCGCTGTTTCAGATGTTTTAATCGTATTTCTGCTACTGTCCGATTGTTCGGGAGGTGTATATCTTCATTCTTCCATAGTAGGCCCATTTGATAGTGACTGTCAACTTTTGTCAGAGTCTTCTCTATCACTTTCAACGCTTGTTTATCTTGGACTGACATGGTCTTCGAATTATCACCGGAGGTTCTGAGGGACTCCAGTTTCCAAAATGACTCCAATTGCTGGTTAAGGGTGAT